TTGCATTATTTATAATATTTAAACTCACCAGTTTTCCAATAGTTTAAATACTTTTTATTTCAGTGCTGGGGAGAGGGCTGGGGGCGGTCTGGGGCTCCAGGAATTTAAATAGTCTAAATACTGTGGCCCCCGGAGGCCCCCAACTTTTCAAATTGTTTAAGTCCACCCCACCCCACCCCACCACACCCCTCTCCCCACACCATCGCCCACCCCACCCCACCCCACTCCACCCTCCCCCTTATTTGTCATAAAAACGTTTAGGGGACACCCCTTGCGATCTGTGGTTTTGGGATGTCAGATTGCATAAAAATGTAAGGGGGACACCCCTTGCGATCTGTGATTTTGGGATCTGATTTCTTACAAAACCTCAGGGGGACACCCCTTGCGATTTTTATTTTGGAACTTATCTGTCATAAAAACCTTTAGGGGGACACCCCTTGCGATCTGTGGTTTTGGGATCTGAGTTTTCACAAAACCTTAGGGGGACATCCCTTGCGATCTGTGATTTTTGGGCCTGAGTTCTTACAAACCTTCGGGGGGACATCACTTGCGATTTGTGATTTTGGAACTTATTTGTCATAAAACCTTTCGGGAGACACCCCTTGCGATCTATATGATCTATGATTTTGGGACCTGGGTTCTTACAAAACCTTAGGGGGGACAACCTTTGCGATTTGTGAACTTGGAACTCATTCGTCACAAACCTTTAGGGGGACACCCCTTGCCATTTATGGTTTTCGGACCTGAGTTCTTACAAAGCCTTAGGGGGACACCCCTTGCGATCTGTGATTTTTAGGTCTGCATTCTTACAAAACCTTAGGGCCGACACCCCTTGCGATTGGTGATTTTGGAACTTATATTTGTTGGGACAACACTTGCGATCTGTGATTTTGCGATCTCGAGTTGTTACACAACCTATGGGAGACACCCCTTGCGATAGGTGATTATGGGATCTATTCTGCGCAAAACCCAGTAGGGGGACACCCCTTGCGATCTGTGATTTTGGGATCTGCGTTTCACAAAACCTAAGGGGACACCCCTTGGTGTGTGCTTCTGCAAAACCTATATAAGTGGGCTCCCCTTGCGATTTATGGTTTAGGGATGTTTAGGGATCTATTTTCGCGAAAAAACCTAAAGGGGACACCCTTGCGATCTGTGTTTTCGAGATTTGCATTTCTCCAAAACTTTAGGGGACACCCCTTGCGATTTATGATTTTGAAACTTGTTTTTATACAAACCTGTAGGGGGACACTCCTTGCGATCTGTGACTTTGGGATCTGCCTTTCTACAAAACCTAAGCGGACACCCCTTCCGATTTATGGTTTGGAGATCTATTTCGCGAAAAAATCTGTAGGGTGACACCCCTTGCGATCTGTGTTTTCGAGATCTGAATTTCTACAAAACCGTAGGGGGCACCCCTTGCGATTTATGATTTTAAAACTTGTTTTTATACAAACCACCCCTTGCGATCCGTGATTTTGGCATCTGCGGTTCAACAAACCGCAAGGGGACACCCCTTTCGATTAATGATTTTAAAATCTATTTCGCGAAAAAACCTGTAGGGAGACACCCCTTGCGATCTGTGATTTTGGGATCTGTGTTTTTACAAAACCTACAGGGACACCCCTTGCGATTTATGATTTTGGGATCTAGTTTGCGCAACACCCTTTAGGGGGACCCCTTGCGATCCGTGATTTCGGGACCCTTGCGATTTGTGATTTTGGGATACCCTTGCCATTTGTGATTTCGGGATGTATTCTGCGCAAAAACCTGTACAGGGACAACCCTTGCGATCTGTGATTTTGGATTTCGAATTTTTACATACCATAGGGGGGCACCCCTTGCGATGTGTGATTTTGGAACTTGTTGCTATACAAACCTGTAGGGGGACACCCTTTGCTATCCTTGATTTTGGGGTCTGGGTTTTTGCACATAATAGGGGGACACCACTTGCGATTTATGAGTTTGGGGCTTTTTTCTCGACAAAACCTTTGGGAAACATCCCATGCGATCTGTGATTTTGGCATCTACGTTTTTACAAAAAAACTTGAGGGGACCCCCTTGCGATGTATGATCTCGCAATCTGAGTTTTTATAAAACCTAATGGGGACACCCCTTGCGATTGAGATTTTGGGGTTTATGCTGCTCAGAAACCTGTAGGGGGACACCGCTTGCGATTTATGATCGTGGAACTTGTTTTTTGCAACGAACCTTTAGGGCGACACCCCTTGTGATCTGTGATTTGGGGATCTGTTTTTTTTTTGACACTCACACTCGGATAAGCCTGGCAAGGTCTGCAGAAGTAGGTTCGACGCGATTCGTTATCAACCTAGCAAGCGTTTTCACTTACCAGGTTTTGCTGTCAGACACGACCCTCGATACGCCAACACAAACTCAGAACCTCAAGGAAAAAGGTTTTTCTTGCCGACTGAGGGTAGATGGAGCTTCTTTGTTTCTCGTGAAATTGAAGGGGCCTGTCTGCTGGGCTGAGATGGAGCTCTCCTGCGTCGCATTACATGGGAGGCAGCTCTCAGTCATTTCTCGTGGAGGATGAGGTAGAAGACTTTTCTTTCTGGAAGCTAGGGGAGCTCTGGCTTCTCTTGCTAGACGCGAGGTCTCTTCAGTCTTCTTAAGATAGGCTTACCAAGAGGTAAAGGCTCTCTCTGCTAGAATGAAGCTCTCGTCTCTTGCCAAGAATAACTTGGAGTGAGCTCTCTTCCTGTTTCATAGGGCAAGCTTGAGGGCTTGGGCTTCTCATTTCCTTTTGAAAGCCGTGGAAAGGACCTTTCTCTTGTCCAGGTTTGAAGTTTGGAACAGCTCCACCCTTTCTTCTTGGTCGTAAGCCCTCTTCCATGTTTCTCAAGAGGAAAAGATGGTCAGGAGGTGTCGCTCCTGACGATGAGAGAAAAGAGTTTTCTTCTCATCGCCATAGAGGCAGTCGGAGCACTCTTCTTTCTCGTGATGCTCTGCTCTTTTGCCACGAACAACCCGGGGGGGACTCTCTTCTTGTTTTGGAGCATGAGGCCTTGTCTTTTGAAGGCTGGCGACTGAGAAGAGGTATAAAGAATCTTCTTTAGAGCAATCTTCTTTTGCCAAGAATAACTTGGAATGAGAGAGGGCTGTCCTCACTTCTTGAGAGCTATCTCTCTTCTATCCCTTGGAGAGGAAGTTGTGGCGACAAGGAGCTCCTTTCTCTATTGTCGACAAAAGGCAGCCGGAGCTCTCTTATTTCTCTTGAAGTTAGAAGGGTGTCTTTTTTGATTCACAGGATGGGGTAAATGGCTGCTCATGTCTGGTTGAAGGCTGAGGGGAGGATCAGACTCTTCTTTTGCAGATTAAGAAAGCTCTGTCCTCACCATTTGAGAGCTGTGTCTCTTCTATCCCTTGAGAAGGAAGAGGGGAAAATGAACCCCTCTCTCTAATTTTCGATTTTCTCTTATTTCCCGTGAAGTTGGAAGGGTTCTCTGCTCCTTTTTTGAGATGCTGCGGTAGAGGGCCTGCGAGGGGATCTCTTCCTTACCCATATTGGGAAAAGAAGCTCATTTCTTGTCGATGAATAGGTAAAGGAGCTCTCTTGTCTCTCGTTCGTCTTCTTGAAACTGGAGGAGCTTTGAGCCTTGTCGTCTTCGACTAGAAGCGAGCTCCCTTCAATTCTCTTCAGGGGAGATGGAGACTTACCAAGATGTAGAGGAGCTCTCTGATCCCTTTTCCATCTTTTGAAAAGGTAAAGGAAATTATCAAGATCTCTTTCCCCTTGCCAAGAAAGAAAGGATCTTCTTCTGGTGCGCATGCTCTTTTCCATCTTTTGGAAAAGGTAAAGGAAATACTCAGGATCCAATCCCCTGATCAAGAGAGAAAGGGGTCCTCTTCTTGCCGACCGATGGGTAAACGGAGACCTTTGAATACTCGCGAAGTTGGAGGGGCCTGTTTTGTTGCTGCTTGCCGCTTTCTTCGTGAGAGCTGATCTATTCGAGATGTTGTTCCGAAACAAGAAAGGAAGCTATATTTGCGTTGTTGGGTACTTGCTGCTGCTTACCGCTTGGTTCGCAATTGCTCTTTTATGCGGATTCTTGCTCCGAGACAAGAAGAGAAGCGGTATTGTGTCGTTGTATACTTATGCGTGAGTGCAGACTTGGCATTACGCTGTCAGTTTCTTGTTAGTGTTACTTGTATCTTGCTGTCCGCCACAGGTCTTGTGACACAAACCTGACATTAACAGAATGTTGCTCCAATACGTACTTTAGCTCGCTGGTATCAGCTAGCCGCCGGCCTTCGTGGGAGAGTATATGCCAGCTTCCAAATAGACCCTATTTAAGCCACCCAGAGGGGGGTACCATATATAAATATAAGTATACATATGTGTATATATATATATACACATGTATATTGCATGCATATATTTGTACATTTTTGTATCTATATATGTATATCTATATTGTTTTATATGGACATACACAAACATATACAGTTACATACTATATACATAATATAGCCTGTACAAGCCCAGAGGGAAAGGGAGGAAGAGACAGAGCGAGAGAGAGAGAGAGAGAGAGAGAGAACAGTGCACTTGCCAGTGCAGAGCAGCCGGTCCGGGTGGTGTCCTGGTCAACCATGTCTACGACTTTTGTGATCGCAGTCTTTACTCCCAACCTCAACCCTCCCGGCGGCTCGGAGCTGATGAGTCAGCACGTTGGGGGAGTCCGGGCCGGGCCTGCTGGCTTGCATGTTGAGAATAGACGGAAATCAGCACTTACCTTCACTGTACTGGCAGCAATCCCGCACAAAGTCGCCCCACTCCATGGCAGTATCCGTTTCCGATTCGATGACGTGCAGCCCTGCCAGTTCTTCGGCCGATGCGGGAGCTCGAGGATCAAGAAATACTCAAGCATGCTCCTCTTCTAACGAAGGTATGGCTGACGATGGGACACTCAATCGGTTTCGACATCTTTGCCACTGCCTTGTCAGATTATGGAAAACTGAACGAAACCCGTCCAAGATTCTTTCCACTCCGCACCAGAAATCGCGGCATCCTTCAATACCTGGAAAGGAGAGGGTGATCTTCAATCAGCTAACCTCTGGACAGTGGCTTCCAATCGCTCCCTTTTGTTGACTAGCTCTCAGCACCCTGTACTCAAGACCAATGAAACTAGGATAGAAACTACGATATCTGATGCAACCTTGTTTTTTGCTCCCACGACCTTAGCCTCAGCTTTAATCGGCTCAGTCTTACTGTTGTAGCTGTCCCAGTGGTAAGACGGACTCTGTCACAATTCTGTTTGCAAGTACCGCCAGATTAGTTGTGGTACTTTGGGCCTGCACGCCGGACAAGCCCGGCAAAGCCCTCCGAACCCGACATCCATCCCGGCCAAATCCACATGACGCCAGCCGTCGCCAACAACAACACGGAAGGCACACGGATTCCGGATGGCCGATGGCAAGGACAGGTGACCAGTCCAGATACGCTGCGCTAGAACATGCAATCGGCCCAAGCTGCAAAGGCGTAGCGTGACCTCTAAGACCAAGAAGAAATTGAAGACCATCTCAACGTAGACCCAGTGCGGCCAGTCCTCAAAGGTCCTGGCCCGCAAGTAACAGCGACATGAAGTAGATTTGTATCAAGAGCCATGCCGCGGTAGCCACGATTTGCATGCCTTCATGATCTAATGCTCAGTGCTTCAATAACCCAAAAACACTGAAGACGGTGCAACCATAACTACACGAGGGCATCGTAAACAATCGTACACACATATTGAAACAAGAGAGGCGTTTGGGTCATTGCTTGGTTAGCTGTTCCACCAAGTACGAGCACAGTGATTTCAGTTGAGGGGCTGCAGGGTTTCGATATGCTTTGGACTTAGCACCCTCGTGTTTTCGGCTGAGCTGCGGATCAGTCTGCAAGCCGATCAGGATACCGTTCGCCAATATCAGAAAGCCAACGAAAGGCTCCATGTACATCAGGAAGTTCACCTGAGGAGGGCAAATCGTACGGTTTGGCTGGTGCTGTCTCCAATCATGCCGTCCATCAAAGAGGCACAAGAAGAACAAGTGATGCATTGCTTTTTGTGATATTCGCATGTGGGACAAGGCCACTTAGGAAATGCATTTCCACATCAAGCCTGTAGTGGCGCTCCGGATAAATAGATGGCCCAAAAGTGGTATAGATGTTCATGTATTCATTGCTTGCCATGTCAAGGTCGCAGTCACAGCATATGGATCTTGTTGGGACGTCAAGCCCCCTAGCCTCTGACGGGGAGGGAGCATTCAATTGGCCGCTGCCATGCAGCGTTTTGCCCACTGTAAAGGCGTTTCTCTCCAAAGTAAAAGATGACCACCTAGGGGTGTGGAAAGAGCTCCGTACCGCTCTGTAATCCTTGCAAGCATCGCAAAGAAGAGAAGGTGACGGGTCAGCTGTCTGAGCCGCACTGCGCACTCGCTGTTAATGCAAACGTACGCACATGGAACACTCCCCGTAGAACTCTTTCCCGCATTGTATATGTACATGCGCCTTTGGGTAGGTGATTAGAAGTCAGATACTTGACACAAATACAATTCAGTCATCGTGGCTCATAACAAGATCGATCGACACTCGCACCGAAAAGCCGGACGGCATTCACTATATAGACGGTTTCGATCTCAGAGATACCTGCCGGTGTAATTACGGCCTCACAGTGGTAGGGGCACGGGAATAGTTTGGCACATCTCTACCCATCGTCGGAAATCTTCGTGCACAACAATGCTGTCTGAAAGCCAACTGCAATTCTTTAGATTTTGTAAGCGACGAGATGTCCAACAAAAGCGACAGCACACCGAAAACGAGCGAAGCAAAGCATGTGGTGGTTTTGCCACGGGACATTTTCCGGAGGAGCAGCCAGGTCGTTAATGCGTACAAAGGTCAGCTCTGCAACCAATCGATTCCTCGAGCTTTCAGATTTCAGAGAGTACTCGATGTTCAAGCAAGGTGGCACGGAGAAAACCAGAATATGTTTGAAATAGCTTAGGCAAGGTTGACGAGCCAAGCCTGAGGCCAGGTTTCGGTTTCGCAATCTCAGCATTTAGTTTATGGGTTGCCTACCCGGGCCTACCCAGTATCTCTCCACACTTTTGCTGGCCAAAGAGCGTGTCACTTGCGAGCAAGATCTCTCTGATTGCCTTAAGTTCAACTAGCACCGAAACGTCGGGCTGAGCCTAACACACAAACTGGGCTTTTCTTTTGCCAGTAGACATGCTGTCGTCTATTGGGAACAGGCTAGGACGACTCTGCTATGAACGGGCAAAAAACCACTGCACCGTTGTCTACCAGAAACAACACGTGAGGCCATGAATTGCCGCCCAAGATGCCTTAAATTGTTGCAAAATCCTTGAACCAAATATCTTCTTCTGGATGTCTCCTTCCTGTGCTAGGAGGAGTTCGATAAGTGCCTCGCACCAGCTGATCAAGCCACAATATTCAATTCAGGACATTCCCCACTCAGGGCTTTCACACCCCTACACCGCGGCTTACATATGGAGGATGACTCCAGGCGGTTCGAGGTTTCGACCGCTGATTCTGAGCTTGCTGAACTCAGGAGGCGTTTCGCACCGGAGCAACCATTGACTTCGGCCGCAAGATGGACCATGATGGACCCATGAACGATCCGCAGTTTGTGTGATGCTGGGTTTGCACGCGACTTGGGGAATCTGTCGTGCGAAGCCGTGAATACTTGGCATGGTGTGCAGCATGTGGGCTTGTGTGTGGTTGCTACGGGAAAACAACGCGATGATCGCGACAGGGGTGCGATGACATGGTCAGAGCGACGACTCACCCTTATTCTCCCCTGCTTAAGGGGCGAGTCAGGCCGCCCGGCCATCAAACCCGTCCGCTTTCTGCGCCTCTCTTTGTCTCTCTCTCTCTCTCTCTCTTTCTTTCTGCAGGGCGTAGGGGTCGTCCTCCCTCTCTATCTCTCTCTCTCTCTCTTGCTTGCTTACTTGCTTGTTTTGGGCAAACTAGACCCGCGCCGAGGCGCCGCCCTTCCCTCAAGCGTTCGTGTAGGTAAAGGCTTTGGTGTCCAAGAGACTGCTTTTCAGTCCAAGGTCAGAAATGTTGGTAGAGTACGGTTGCTGCTATCCCCGCAAAGCCTGAACACTAACGCGCATCCCGGCCTCATCCCCGCACCCTCTATGGCCAATCCTTATAGTACCTACAGCAACCCAGCTCCCCCAAACGACAAAAGCTTGTGGCAGCGTGAGGACTCGCAACCTGTAGACTACAGCAACATGAAGTAGTGCACGATTACACACATGATCTCCCAACCGTAGCTGCAAGGACACGACATCTCACCCAGCTTTCGGCTTTGGTTTATGGGCCCGTTCCCCACCGGATGTCATAGTATGCTATGCAGGTAGAGGGCAGTGAGGCTCAAAGTGCAAAGTAAACTTCGAAAGTTAGCTGTAAACAAATGATGCTGTTTTCGTCGTACCCTGACTCCGGGGTGTCGACGAGGAAGACGCCCACACGAAAGTGTAGGCGAGGAGATAGCCGAAGCAAGGCATCTCCTTAGCTGAGGCTGAAAGCCTGTACCTTAGCGGTAGACAACGTCCTAACCAGTGTGCCACACGAGGAAGTAGCCAGTCAAGGCCAGCCAAGTCCTTAGCTGAGGCAAAAGCCAGCACCTTAGCCAGAAGGCCAGGTCTCGAGCACCCTCTCACTCAGAGAGATCTGCCCCGCACGGGAGCACGCCAGTGCTGAAAAACAGCTAGACAGCAGGCACAGGCACCAAAAGGGGCCCCAGACTGTCAGGCTCACACGTCAGACTGCGGAGCCCAAGCCTTACGCTTGGAGCGCGAGGCCGCCTCAGCTTCACGAATGCTGCCCATTTGCAGCAGTAAAGCCTCGTCGCGTCCTCTGCCTAAGGCCCGAGCGCGCCAACCCAACCTACCTCCAAGGGCGGAAGCCGGCTCCGGGATGCTTCGCAGGTGCGCCAACGCAGAGCACCTCCACAAGATGTGCTTGAGACTGGGAGTCTCGGCCTTGCCACAGAGGTCGCACCGATCTCGAATCGGGCATCTGTACTGCACCCCCCAGCCATGCAAGCGACAGCATGCCCAGGAAGCTTCATGGCCAGCTTATGCAAGCGGGCAACCAAGTGCCGGGTAATGACGAGGCCATCCGCCCTGGCTACCTCAGCATCAATGCGGTCTGACTGGAGCCAAGAGCGAAACTGCGCCAGCCTCCAGGACTCCCGAAGAGGTGCAGTCCTCGGGTCCGGACCTGAGCCGGACTCATCAGCGACAGTGTGCCAGCCTCACAAGCGAAGACTCCCCACTGCCTGAATCCGCACCCTGGCAGGTTCTCTTCCTGCCATCCTTTCCCCATCAGCCCACCGGCCCAGAGCAGTGAGAGCCCGATGCGCACTGATGAGGAGCATGTCACTAGCATGACCAAGCAGCAAGACCCGTTGCAGGGGGCTGGAAGCTCTGTCATACTGAGCATCACTGCCTTTTACAGCAGTCCGAAATGTCGTGGCGTAAGTCTTACATTTCCGATCGGTGGGGAAGCGCCCATTCAAGAATGAGCCCCGGAGCCGCTTGGCAGCAAAGAGAATCGTAGCCAAGGTGCACTTGAATCTCTGAGAACACGGGAGGCATTGAAGCCTGCTAGCCACATAAGTGGCCTGAGCTTCCCTCTTGAGCCCCTCCTAGGCAATTGCGATCGGACGAACATCGCTCGCTTTGGTGGTGCATCCTTTAGACTTGGGAAGGAAAACGCACCGCCAATGAACTTGTGACTCTGGGAACCTGCCTTCCCGTTCACACTGGCAGAGAAGAGCTGCCAGGCACGAGAGTGCCGACTCAGGCAACGCTAACAGCATCTCAGGGTCCACCCGTCCGTGCTGGCAGTTTTGCCCTTCATCCGCCCCAACTGGCGCCGCAGCTCCGGCCCCGTAAGCGCCTCAAGCCGGGGAGCCTGCTGCGTAGATTGGCGGATGAAACCGCCGAACTTGTCCACAAGGCTTGGCCCTTCAGTCACAGTACAAGTGGACCCGAAGATGCCTTTCCAGGCGTCGTAGAGAGCCTTGGCAGCCTGAGGTTTGGTGGTGTAAACCATGTGTAAACCTCAGCTTCATCAGATGAGACAAGAGTCACAGGGGGAGGGGCCTGCTGTTACTTACACCACGAAGCAGCCCCAGACACCGAGTGAACCCTGTGAACCCAGTCGCTCTTCAACTTCCGTTGTCTTTCAACTAGGAGAGTCTCTAACCGCCCTTGGGCACTCTGCAGTGCGACGCCCCAGTGTCCGGACTGAGCCGCCTGCCGCTCTGACTGAGGGACACTTCGGTTCACGAGTCTGCCTTGAAGAGGCCCCGGCACAGGAGCCCCCGCGTCTGGTGAGAGTGAGAGCCTCCTGAAGTCTGCGAATGTGTCTTCGCAGCTGACGTTCCTCAGCATGCTGTCCAGGGCCCGCTGCATGAGTCCCGGACTTAAGGCGTGGGACAGATCCCAACCTTTGCTCAGCCTTAGTACACTGCAAGGCACCGGCCTGTCTGAGCCAGTCCTCAGCACAAGCATGCCACTGACTCCAAGCGGTCTCAAGGTCCTGAGAGAGCTCATGTAACGCGAGATTCCACGGCGGTGCAGTAAGCTGGTCGGCGTCCTTCTCACTAAGCCTAGGAGTCCTAGCAAACCGAAAAACAGGACCCGGTCTCGTAAAGGCAAGAAGGAGACGAGTAGAAGCGACCGTGTAGTCCCCTCCCCAAGTATACTCAGAAGAGCCCGAAAACGGAAGCGCTTGAGAAGTCTAGATGCAGTCAATCGGCTCCCTCGTATGCCTAGCCACCGCCGCCAGGCTAGCCCCGGTGGAGGACATGCTCTCAGAGAAAGTCCCACTAACCTGATTGCAGTTAGCATCAAGAGCAAGGCACCAAAGCCTACCCCTAAAGCCCTCAAGTTCCTGGAAGAGGCAAGTCAGGTTAGACGGTCAGAAACATCTTCTTGGTCAGGGACCCAGTATGCCGAGCCAACCGTAAAGCTTTGCTGAGCACCGAGCACCTCAGCGAAAAGCCATTGGCAGTCAACGGCCGCGTTCTGGACGACAGGTCGGAGGGCAAGAGGGGCCCTAACGAGGAGAGCCACTCCCCCTCTACGACGGCCGGTTTGTCTGAGATGCAACATGTTCCATCCCATCCGGCGCGCCAGATTAAGCGCAGCGGGCTCAGCATGTGGGCCGAGATTTGCTTCTTGCAATGCCACCTGCCTCGGTAGCATCACTCATAAGGCTAGTGGCATGCTTATGCCACGAGCCTATGTTTTTACTCCAGAGCAGCAGCCCCTCTGGCCCTGGGTGCTGGGCCTCACCCACGCGCTGCGCGCGGTAACCGCACCTGATGATCATCAGGGCCCCAGCCGGAAGCAGGAGATCAGCAAGCTGATCTGCATACCTCAGCGGGGCCCAAAACCGTCAGCTCGACTGCCGAGCAGCTGGCTTCTTCCGAAGCCCGCCGAGCATCCCGACACCCTTAGTCGAGGCGACCTTAGCAGCATCACGGGCCTTGCTGAGGGCTTTGTGACATCCCAACTCTGTGGAGGCTTTCTGTCTCCATTCTTTCCAACATTTCTTTCGCTCAGCAACACTGACACACTTGCGGTCAAGCTTGACCTTAGGACAGAGATAAAGAGGAAGCGTCTTTCTCGCAATTTCCATCCCACAAGCCTTGCATCTGTGGCACGCGTCGGACTGAGTTTTGCCCTGTTTGTTGGTAGTCGTACGCCAGCTAGTGACTGCCTCTTCGATGTCATGCGCACCCGGCCACTTAGCCTTGGAGAAGGCCTGAAACACGAGGGCCCAACGTTTGTCATAGGAGGCCTTGGCAGCACATTCACGGGAGGCCGCATGAGTCAGACTCGTGGTGTGGCGAAGATCAGGGGCTTTCGCAAATCCATGCACTTTACTTAGGTGCATAGATCCGGGCGCAAAGCTTCGCCCGGGCCCGTATACACTCGGTAAGAGCAGTAGGGGCAAGGCCACCAAAGTTTCCTGCTCCCATCTCCGTCCTGAGCAACCATTGGAAGGCCGCTTTTCACCTTCGTAAACGCAGGGTTGTGGCGGACCCTCGTACGTGCCTGCCTAAGCCGCAAGGTGGGCAAACGAGAGATATGAGGCTGGATTCCTTTCCTGCTCGCAGCATCTCGGTTGCCGCCTCGTGCAGGGATCGCGGTATACGCCGCCGTGGGGGCTTGCTTGCCCTGCATACGAGAGCGCTGAAAGAGGCCCTGCTTGGACCCTTCAGCGCACAGCCTCGCAGCCTCCTCTTAGGCAGACTGACCCTCGCCCGCTCCCACACAGGAGTGCGAGTCCCACGGCGCCACACTCGCAGCAGAGGCCGCTTCGTCCTGAGCAGCTTGTTGCACGAAGGTGTGCACTGACGGGGTCGAAGGCTCCTTGT